ACCTCGAATGCACCATGGCTATTACTCTTTCAGTCTCTCCCCTAATCCTGAAAACAATTAAATAAAAAATAAATAAATAATTTTGCACAGTACCAAAGGTCAACAAAGCCGATGGGAATCGTTCTAAACCCGTCTGGTAAACCAAAACACGAGTTCAAAGGTTTCAGCGATGTTTTATATTTTTTAATCGCTGTTTTTTTTTTTTATATTTTCAAAACCTTAATAAATTTGGTTCGATTTTTAGTATTTTTTCAACTTTGGTGGTTATTTTGATTTTATCTGTAATTATGTTTTTCGTGGGAAGTACCAGTTTTGAAAAAATATTCGTTCTAAATAAATATTTTGGAGCATTCAATTTTCCCTGAAAAGTATATAAATAAATAAGGAGTAAATAAATAAATAAAAAAGATATATATTAGTCCGCGCTACAGGCCTCTTTTTATCGAATTATTAACGTCCGCGCGAAATTTAGTAAATAGTTTCATCTCATTGAAACCTACAACAATTTTATTTACCAAAACTCTTGGAATTAATCAACTGAGTATTTAAAAGTTTTTAGTACCTAATTAAATAAACAAAATTTGTCCCCCTCCAAATTGAAAACGCCCCAATTCGAAGAGTTTTCGTAAATAAAATAGTTGTAGGTTACGATGAGATGGAACTATTTACGAAGTTTATATGTTAATAATTCAAAAAAATGTGTCTGTACCACGAACTATATACTTTATAGTCAGACTCATTATTTTCGTAACAAATATTTATTTAGATAGATTTATAGTAAACAAACTCTTTTCTGGGATTGGGTCTCTTAAGTATGTACAAATAAAGAAAAATCACATATATCTTTCTAAATTTGAACAAAAACTCTATTGAATAAAATTATTGAGTAGTTGTAGAATCATATCTTCATAAGAAAATAAAATCATAAATGAAACAACACAGTGAGGATAAATAAAAAAAAAATGTTATAAATGAATACCCAATACACATAATTCATAAAACAGATCTAATCATTCATACAATTTTATACATAAAACTATGAAGCCAAAATGTAAGCATGTAAATTATTTACTTTCGTGAATTTTTATAGGCGTCCTCAATATTGTCTACGTGGCTTTTGAATGTTATTAAGTAAGTCCTTCACATTGTATTAAAGATAAAGAAGCCAAATTGGAATTTTTTTTTATTGATTATTTGGCATATCATCATCTCTTTTACTTTATTTATTTTAAAAAAGAAAACTATGACTCTTCGACTCCTGCTTACAGAGAGATTGAAAATATTTCCCCTACTTCTGGAATTTATTATTTCTACGCTCGTGTAAAGCTAAATAATGTCTAAAAGTCTCTCATTCTTCAAAAGCCATTTAACATATATTTTTTTTACCTTATCTACTGGTACTGGTACTGTTGGGGAAACTAGTCCGGCAAATAGGCCGTATGGTTCTTTTTGCTAACCCCTTACGTCTTCCTTGAGGTTGCGCCGCGTACTTACGAGAGTGGAAATGCCAAGATTTATATCCCGAGGCCGCCGAGAAATAAAAATTATCTCATCCTGTTGGGAATCTAAACCACAACATTCAGAACCGGGCACTCTGAGAGCCACAGCCCAACGTGCCAGGCCATCCTGTCCTTCTGTTACATAAATACCGAAGATGATTAGCCAAAAACGCTGGAGGCATAAAAAACAAATAGGTCCTCATTTGGTGGAATAATAATATTTAAAACTGCCGGAACTATATCCGTTTTTTTGTATCTTATTCTTTCCAGGTCTCAGAACAATTCTATTGCAGTTGTCATCAATATAACGTGTATTCACATTTCCCAAATCATGGGAAAATATATCATGCGATTTTCTGAAGGCTAAACTCTTGTGTTCCGTTCTTTGTAGCCGATCCGTTTGCTGCTGGTTTTCCAGCACAAATCTATCTGAAATCAATAGGAATTAATTTTGCCGTCTCTTCATTCGCCTACCACCTCCCCTCAATAAAAGTCAACATTTTATATCAGTATATCAGGTAATGTATTTCGGAATAAATATCACTTTCAGATAATATTAACTCGCCTTATTGACTAAAGTGAGGTCAAAACAACCAGTAATTAGGAAGAAACATTTCTTAATTCAGCTAAAAAAAATTCTCTAAATTTGCCTACCTATTAATTCCATCATCTGAGCGAAGTGTATATTTTTTTCTGCCTAGTTCCAACCTTGGTTAAGGAAAATACGATCACTGATAAAACTTCCATCTCTAAAATGTTCGGCTCTGTGGAACTACGGAAGTGTGTATATTCTTCCTTATTCCCATATTTTTTTTGTATATTTGTGTATCATTTTTTATGGAAATGCTTACTTAAATATGTTCTGAAGCCAAGTAGACAATATTAACATATGTAGCCTATGGAAGTCCGCCTAGACTTACATAATTTGAGAGATACTTGAATTTTGACTTCCGTGTTCTATGTATAGTATTTTATGGATAATAGAAATGTTTCATGAATAATGTATATTAGTTAGATATTTTTATATATTTTTTCTCCCTCGTCATCGCCTTTTCAGCTATACTGTTTTTTTCCTGGGTCATGGGGATTAATGCTAGAGCTAAAAAAATCTCCTCATCTCTCCCCGCGCCGGGATTCGAACTCATAATATTCGGTTTATCAGATTGCCGGGCAACGCGTTTTCAACACTCGCGTTAGCCCGCTCGGCCACCCCTCCCTCTTGAATATATGTATCATTTTATAGTAATTAATTTTGCATATTTACTTTCACTGTGTTCTTCATTTATGATTTTAGTTTCTTACTAGTGTGTACGTAATATTCACTCTTAATCATACCCCTTCTCCGAAATATATATTAAAAACATTGAAATTCCTGCATCCAATGTAATTAAATATTTGAGTTATTATCTGAACAAAAGACGAACTTGGAGGACACATATTAGACAAAAAAGTATATAATTAAACAGACGATACAGTCTTTTATCTAGGTTACTTGATAGACGTTCAAAATTACCTTTGACTGACAAACTAACTCTCTATAAAGTTTTACTTAAACGAATTTCGACTTATGGCATAGAACTGTAGGGTTCTGCTAAAACTTCCAATATTAAAAAAATCCAGTCTTTCCAATCCAAAACTTTACGAAGGATAGTTGTCTTATTTTATTTCGCAAACGATAGATCACATAAAGACTTGAACATCCCAACAATTTTAGACACTGCAAAAGAAAACTACAATAACTTTCAGCAAAGACTAACTCACAACATAAATTCTAAGACAGAAAACCTTAAACGCGTACTAGAAACCCGTACAGCCCATCGGCGTATACGTAGGCTGTGGCCAAGAGACCTACTGAACTGAGCTATTTCCTGGATTGTGATGGGACGCTGTGAAGCTGCCAAAAAATTTACTCATTGCAAAGCAATTTGCAGATCGCAAATTTAATTTTTATGTCCAATTTTATGTTTATGTATTAATAGATATTAATATTAGTTTCTTACTAGGATATAAATCTACTATTAATAATAGTCTATTATTATATAATTTTACTAATCGCACTTATTATTGTTTTTTGTTAATTTATTTTGTATTTACATTTGACTAGTTACTATTACTTTATATGTATTTACACTCTTTGAACGAAAAATGAAATTTTCCAAACACTTCTTAAACAGATACTTACGAAAGAAAAAAATAACGCTGGGAATCAAACTTCCCAGCGAAACCTGAAAATGACGGTATTCAAAAACAGACAAACCTTATAATCTTTAAAACCAAAAACGATTTCATTTCTTTTTTTTTTTTTTTTAACATCACACCTTGATTTTGTTTGAATTCAACTTCCAGCCTATTAAAATATGATCGAAAACAAAACTTGAATAACAAATTTAGCTGTCCTATTGAATTTAAAATTATATCCGATTTCTTAAATTCTAATCAAATAATTAAATTACTTTTAATATATTTTCCAAACAACAATTAAAGGAAAATATAATATTATCGTTGGTGAAGTAGCTCTGTTAATCTCGTTTATTATTATGTACTTTCTTTTTTTTTTAGAGAATTATAAATGGGTTTTAGCCTCCAGTTGATTCATTATCACCTTCTGACCCCTTCTAACGAGGTTCTTTGCAACATCCTGTATTTAGTTCTCTAAGCGTGATTTCCTCCCATCTCTACGCTAAACCTGTTTATAGCACCTGCGAGTTAGCTCATAAATCATTTTCATGATCTGTATCTAATCGAAGACTACTGAAATTAAAAGACTTTAATCATTGTATTAAAATATTTGTATACATATATCAGATTCAGGATTTTTATTGTAAATATAGTATTTATTTTTGTTTATTATTATTAATGTGATTTTTTTTTCTTAGTGGAGAGGAAAGAGAGGGAACGCTACCCTGTTCGTAGGTATACTGTACCTTTTCTTATAATGAAAGCTTTTTTTTTTCTCTCTCTTTTTGGAGTAAGCAATTTAATCACCTTTTAAATGATAATGTTTATAACAATAAATTGAATACTATTGAATTATCCTCAAATAAAGTTTTTATTTCTCAATAACTTTATTTAGCCATATTTTGATACCTTCATGAATGATTAAATTTCATGAATGAGAGCTAATATTTAGGCAGATTTGCCCATGACACATTGTTTTTAAATATTATTTTATTATATATTTTTTATAAATTAAATATTATTTAATTTTTTTTACTATAAAGACTACAAGATGTAATAACAAACTTTTAGAGAATTGTAAAAATGATTATGGTTATGACCAGTATGAGAATTCCCGATGATATTTGCTTGTTATTTTCATTTGCTATAGTTACTTTAAATTAATCATATATACTCTGCATAAACTCTATCTATATTCTAGACATAATATGTTTTAACTAGTTTAATATTTAGTGATATCAATTTAAATATACTTTAGTTTAGACAATGGTTATAGAAAGTTTGACAATGGTTATAGAAAGACAATGGTTATAGAATTTTTTGTTCTGGTGTGGGAAAGGTTACTAAAACTAAAAAAAACACCATGTTGCCTAGTAGTAATTTATTACTGGCTTTTCAATTCTTTACATATAAAATCGTTATAAAAATTATCATTACATATAAAAAACTATACGTATCATCACTTATATTATTACTAAATGGTACATGATCCGGTAACTTGAGGGTACTTGGTCGATTTTATCCTGAGCTGTTTAGTACGGCCTGTAGGCTCCTGGGAAGGCGCCTGGGTATGCTCCTGGGTATTGGCCTGGGTAGGCGTTGGTTCCTCTAGCTTCGGCAACCTGTAAAGGATATTAAATATAATAAAAGATAGGAGAATATTCATGTAATATTATAGAATCCTCCAAGATATTGATCCGCAGCTTACCTGGACGGCCACGGACTTGAGGATGGCTGGGTGGATGCCTGGTCCGGTTGGTTGGTATCCGTTCTCATCAGCGACGTAGCTGACCTGGACGGGACCTTCGGGGCTCTGGTAGTTGTAAGCTCCTTGGACGGTTACAGCTGGTCCTTCTGGTCCTGGGACTCGGGGTGCACCGGTTTCTTGTCTGCTGGAGCCATCAGCTGAGGTGTATCTGTGAGGAGGAAGAGAAGAGTCGATAACACAGGGTGTGAAAGATGATGAATGTCCATAAACCAAGCTATAAATAACTATTTCACAATGGCAGTGGTGTTCATCTGCACTTAATGTTCAGAAAACCGTTACGTTCCTGTCAACATCTCGTTCAAGGATCGTCAAATCCTTTCTAATCGAGAGTATATTCCATCACTACTGTCCAAAGTCATAAAACCAAACAATTTTCATTTGAATAGACATGACCTTATGTGTCATGCCCGAGGCGACAGGAATCCATGTGCATTTTCCCTCTCTTTTTCACCTGACTTAAAGGTGTCTGTTCTATTGAATAACCTGATGCTTTTATAATTAAATACAGTTATAATCTCAATGAAACGTTTTTTGATGAAGAATCAATAAGAAATTGTAAAAAAAAATATATTGAACAGCCTATGAACATTCTTAATGAAACAACCATAATAAAATTACGTTTTTTTTTTTTTTATATTTCATTAATGAATATTATTTTAAAATCCTCTAAAAGTTTCATAAATACGATGTATTTTACAATACGTGCAAATGTAAGAGATTAATTAGTTGAAAAAATTAAACAAATATCACATTCGAGAATGACCTTTAGCCAGTTTTCACATTTTCTGCTTAGATCACATATACAATATTTTACTAAACGATAAGCTCAGTGCAGAAGGTCAATTTGTTTTGCCACTATGATTTATATTTCACGAATAAAATAAATTCCCCGATGTCACGCACAGAGATATGTACATCATATAGTTTTCCAGTTTTCGCGATATAGCCTTTAAAATATTTATTACATCCCGGCCGCTTCAACTACATCTCACCTTGAAGGGCACATAAATTGCCACCTTCTCCGCGATATGCGCATCGTAAAACGTCAGATTATCGCACCCCGCTGCCTGATGATGCGCCTGATTAACTGCGGCTCAGCTAACACTCCTGACATTTGAGCCTAGCAGTTGCTTATTACGGGGCTGGGCCGTGACTAATGATTCCACGTCGGTGGATTGGGTTCTGTCCGAAAATATATTTTTTGAAGGATTCCACGTCAAAAATGATGGGTTTTTCGCAATGGATACCTGTTTTAGGAATTTTTTAAAAAATGATTGGCTATTTCGCAATCTGAAATTGACCACCATCCATTCGCTTTTAAGAATTAGAGATTCCCCATCGTTTTAAAAAAATTAGTAGTTTTAAATTTCAATTATATAATAGAATGATATTTTCATTAAGAATGGTTTTGGGGCAGTAATAATAATGTGAAAAACATTATTGTTAATATTATTATAGTATTATTGTTACTTATTGGAATATATCTGGCCAGTCAGTTGACGGTGATTACAGGCAAATTGACAAGTTTTTATTAGTTCGCCCACGTTATACTGAGACGTAAAATGCAATAAGGTGGATCTCTGAATGAATTCACAATACAATTTAGCATCACATGGTTGTTTCGTATGGGATTTGCGTAAAATATGTTCAAGCAATAATCTGAAAACGGTTCTTTGTGTCAGAATACATCAAACTGCATTGTAAAATTTACTATAATAGAAATCTCTCAATTGCCTTGCGAAATCCTAAAGAATATTAATAAAATGGCTACTTTACCAGTTTCCAATGAATATCTAACTGAAATCGCTACAAGAAGCTGGATAATTTTTAGTATTCTCAAAGTATTCTTTAAAAATTGTGTATTGGAATTGTATGTCTTTGCCAATACAAATTAAATAAGTATTTAAATTTAAATACAGAATATAAAATTATTATGGACTGTACGATTATCAATCAGAATATACTGAGTATTAGATGAGATCGAACTATGAATTTACATTTCATTTGAAGAATTATTTTGATGGCAAGAATATCTCAAGTGCTTGCTATAGTAGTTGTAGTATTTTTTTTTCGTTAGTCCTGGATTTCAAATGAGTGCTTTTTTATATTTATTAATCTATTTTACTGAATAAATTATACTTACTCGAAAGTGTATGATTGATCGGGGTTGAGGTCGTAGTGTTGAGAAACGATGGGGACGAAAGCTCCTGGGGCATTGGGGTAGGCGGGTCGGTTGAAGTAGGGGTTGTATTGGGGAGCAGCGGAGGCTGCGGCCAAGAAACAAAGGGCGACCTGTTAATAAAAGAAAAAATATTAGTAAATTAATATAAACATATCTAAAACAATATTTAAACCGTTAATACTTAGATGGACGAATCATTAATTATGAAATAAGTCCTGAGGTAAGTAGATTTCCTAGGATTGAACCACAACGTAGATGGGATAATGTTCTAATATGAAGATTTGGACTTTGCCGTGGTTAGGAGGAGAGAGATGTTAAGATAAGACTGGTTAATATTATTGACATCGAGGTGCTCCGGTTTATTACTAAGGTTAAGAAGAAATCATCAGGGAAAAATACAAAAATTAAATTCATTGGAAAAAAACAAAATATTTTTTAGAATTCGAAGCATGTTTAAATTCAGGATATAAAAGTAAACTAAAATATACCCCATTTAAATAAAGTGTAAAAATTTTAGAAAAGAATTCCCAGCCCGTAAAGAAAAAGAAAAAAAAAATATTATTTTGTAGCTGTATTTTTCAGTTCCGACTTGAATAGGATTTCAAAAAAGTCAAATAACATGAGTTAGTAAGTATTCTCTCTGAAAGTATTGAATGAAGCTCTTTATAGCTGTTCTTTTACTTTAAAACTTTTTATAGCAGTTTGCCTCATCCGTGTTTCATTTCTATACCTTTTCACAATCCGATTTTAAAGTTTCTTTTATATGAATCCTGAAATCAAAAGACGGTCTTCGCGTAGTTTAAGACCATACTCAATAGGTTAATGGGTGTCCTCACATACAGATCCTTGCATGATTACTTTTCCTACTTCATTCCGTTTTAAATTCAAATGAACGTGATATTACCCAAGTTGGGCAAGGCAGGGATGTAAAGTTGGCTGAAGATAAACACTAGCCAGTAAGGCTAAGGATAAAGAAAATTATCGCCCGCGGATTTTATTGCCTCATCAACTGCAGCAAGTGACTGCTTCACAAGACGGGATTACCTTTGATAAAAGAGCAAAACTTCTTTCGAAATATTGTATATATAAACAAAGTTTTATTAATACTTGTTGATATGCTTGTGGCATTTTTATGTTTTATAAGAAACGTTTCATTTTGTCTTTGAACAATTTTTATTGCGATATTTCAAAATTATCGCAGTCAGCAATTTTTTAGTACGTGCTAAATGTTTTCAAATTCATTTCACCCACAGTTTTCCTTAAAAAAAAAAACAGTATGAAAAACAAATGTTTTCTTGAGAAATAAAAAATTATTTTTTCTTAAATTTGCTGTTTTTTTTGTAAAATTATATTTAACTAATAAACTAAAAAATCTGACAACTTCAAGGTATGGTTTACAATGGCAACAAATAGTTTCCTATATGATGCAAACATTTATTTCTTATTTGAATAAGATCAAGGCGCAACCGAATGATTCATCCATCACCACAATCTTTCTTTTATTCATAATCGAATTTCCCAAAGTATAATATAAAAAATCTAATCTACGAAAGCATGAGTTTAATAGTTTTATATTGAATATTTAGATAATCTAACTTATAACAAAATAAACAATCACCCAACTGTCATATTTTAATCAGCGATATTTTTAAGATCCTTACGATGAAACACGTTTAAAATCTATTATTTCATAACATTTAATACTTTGGAGTTGTTGATTCAAACAGAAATGTATTTAGAAAAAAAATATATTGCGTCGGATTCTACAAGACCGACGCGTTATGGGAAAAAGAAAATACTTTTAGATGACAACAATGCAATCGATATCAGAGTTTTCTCGCTTGATGTACATGTTCCCAGTAGATATGGACATGTGGAAACTCAGGTCTTGTCCTACTTCGAAACATTGTTTTCTGTTCAGAATCCTATGTTTCAATCCGACCTCTACAGATCCGGCATTTTGAGCTCAAACAGACCTAGATAGGACTTAATCAAGTCAGACGAAAATGCCAGCTTTGGATCCTGATTATAAAAGTATCGATGAGAAAATATTAAAAGCTGAAATATAAATATAAATAAATAAAAAAACAAGAATTTATTGTTAAATATTTTAACTAGTAAATTTACCAGGCTTAAACATTGAATGGCGTTAAAAATAAATCAAATAAAAATCACGTGTAATGCTGTTTAAACTTAACATAAATATGAAAAGTTTAACCAAGGATTTTTGACCTAATTAAAGTTCTTAGTCATAAAATAAATATAATTTTTTTCCAATTCAAATATAAGCCAGCTAACATAAATATGCCAGCATCCTATAAATCAAAAATGACGAATTAATTTACATGTTAATTGTACTAATTGGGAAACTACGTATAATAAATTATCTGGATATTACAGTTCCCATCTTACTCAACCATGGCTAACGATATGATCTTTATCTTCTTTTAATGTTATTAATTCATCACAACACTTTGGTGAACTGATTGGATCCCGTGAAATAAGTGAAGTAATCGTCGGAATAACCTTTTCCCACAATACCAAGCAATTAATACACCCTAAATTATATGAAACGGAATCTAGCATGATCGATCATCAGGTCAGAATTCTCTAATCTATCTCTAACAGCTCACTTTAAAAAAATAAATAATACAATAATTTAATCTAATAAAAATAAATACGTATTTTTGTAATTCAACGCGCTAATACGCATTTTATAATTGGTAAAGACTTAATCACACTTACATATCTAGATATATAAATATTTTTGTTATTTTTTAAAAAAACAATATATTTGATTAAAATTTAAGATTAAAAAAAATATCTAAAATTTTAACTAAAGGATCAATATCGAAGTTGAATACCTTAGGTTTGGCTTTGGTGTGTAAGAACAAAGATGAAACGCTAGTGTTCAAGAAATACCAAAAAACATTTTTTATAATTTTATCCGTGATTGAATTGGACATTATTAGATCATACTTTAAATGAAATTTTCAACGTTAAATACGTTTCCTAAAGTGGAGGAAAATTCGCTTGCAAAAACAGATCAAGAAGCAAAACGGTTCTTTTTTGAAAACCATTATGACATCCGGAAAAGTGCAGAGCTAGGAAACGAAGAATTTCGAAATGATACTTCTAGACTATGTTAAAAAAAAAAAGATGTTAACGAAACGAACTGTATCCTGCTAAAGGTAATTTTTTCCCCTCTGTACTAAAATATTGAAGTTTTCTAAATTGTTTGAAGTTTTGGTGCTTTTTGTTAGTAACGAATACTTTCCAGTACGGCTCGAAGTTCCGTTTAAAGTTCACCATTTGATTTAAGTAACCGAAGGAATTAATTTTTTTTCTTTAATGGTACTGAAACAAATAGTGAATGAATGAATAAAAAATATCATTTTTCTTAAAGAAAATACATGTAAGCTGAATTATGGAAACAAATCTTACAGATATTTTATGATTAACATCAAAGAATTAGTGAAGAAAACTGAAGTTATTTGATCAGGTTTAGCTGATACAGCATGATTTAGTTACTACAGGATTTGAGCAGATAATATTTTGAAAACTTTTCCGCAAATTTGATGAATGCATGATTCACTTTAAAAGCTGGTAGGAGTTGAACTCTGAAGAATTGTTAAAAATACGGATATCTTTTAGGAGAAAAAGGTTTTTAGCCTTTAATTAATGATTTGAAAAAAATATTGTAACATTAATACTTAGAAACGAAATGAAATTGGATACAAAAAGATAAAAGAAAATAATAATAAAAAAAAATGAAAATTGTCAAAATAAAAAGAGGTGTATTCTGAAAAGTAAGAGATAAAATGAAATATTTTGTAACCCATACAAACCACCCTTAATATTATTAGATGAGTTAAATGGATTTTTTTAAACTTGCAGTTCTGTTCAAATATTCACACTAATGACAAATAAGTATTTATATATAAATCAAGGATGCTGCATTATTGTTTTAAAAATTTATAATTAAAAAACTTTAAAAATAGAACAAAATACGGAATATTTATCTAACTAAAATGATTTTGCGAAAATCCCAAAAGTTGGATACGGTAAGTTGTTGGTTTTGAAATGTGAAGAGCTATAATAGTTTAAGTTAGATTTAGTAAACTTATTCCTACATTAGTTAGGATAAGCACTACGAGCGGTGCTCCCTTAGGACAGGACATACTCTGCCTTAGGGGAGTACAGCCCTCAGATATAGAAGATATGTTTTGACTTTACCAGAGAGATCATGTTGTTGTTGTTGTTGGTTGGTGGTAAGGTGCGTTATGCTTCAAACCCAATGTCCTAGTTCTTTTATACAGACCAAGGCAGGGTTCCAGCCCCCACTCCCTCTCCCTCCAGGCTCTAACATATCACGATGGCCAGTTCCTTATCTTCGCTACCTCCCGTGGTCACTTCTTCCACCAGCCCTCGCCAATGTCCGGTATATGTCGTATACTTCAACATCTAGAGCGACAAAGTCTTTTTTTTGCGTAGTCAAATTTATTTCCGACGATTGACGATGCGGATACTAGGAATGATTCCTACGTATGCTTCTTTTTAAATATCGAAGTCTTTTTTTTTTTTTTTTTTTCTTTTAAACTAAGTAAAATCGTAAATCGATAATCAGTATGATTTTTTTTTTTTAATTTCCCAATTCTGTTCTTAATATTAATTAATACATATCAGGACTTTAAATTAACTGTCAAATTTTGTTTTTTATCAGTTCCGGTATGACTGGAACTTTTATGTTGGGGTTGTTTTTAAACTAAACATTTTTCTCCCACAAACATCTTCAATTAAAGGTTTTACTAATTTGTTTAAATATTCATTTAAAATTACTGTTATGGACTTTGTTACACCAAAAATTAAATTTAAAAATAATAGTTGTATGGTGGATTCTTAATCAATTCATTGCAAGTAATTACATGTGTAATCTAAGCCCAGTTATTGTTTATTTCTCATTTAAGGTAATTTTTTCTATGTAATTTTTTATTAGTATTTTTTTTTAATTTACAACTGTATAAATAAATGCAACAAGTAAATTTGTTATAAGAATAAAAAACATGGTAGCAGCTTTTCAAGAAACCAAAATTTGGGTACTACTTCAATGATTAGTGAAGAAATTTAGTCCACTGTTCCACATACCACCCATTTTACAATTAGAGTAATTTAGCAGGTCATTTTATTTTTTGACGCCTCGGAGGGTTGTTGGGACCATTTTTGGATGAAAAGTCATGAAATAGAAGATTAGGATGACCTACGAGAATAAAAAAAGGGATATTTAATTCGAGCTAAGTCTACAACCAATGGAATATCGAGGTATTTTTATTATAATTTTATAATTAGGAGCAGGATTCTGCGGAATGAGGATTCTACGGAAGATATTCGATTGAAGAGATTTAATACGTTAAACTTTTACACGAAACAACGTTTTTACAAAGAAGATCCATCGAAACCGAAACTGATAAAATCGGACATTTTTAAAAGTTTCAACCCCTAATATGAACTATTAATACTTATTTTCATTGGCCGTGAATAATTTTGAATAATGAAACTAGTAGTTTACAACTAATGTTAGTAAAAGATTCAAATATTTTTTTTACAATATTGCTTCAGGTTATGAAAACTTTTTCTCCTGACCACAGTATCATGAAGAATGAAAATTCACAAAAAATTCATATTATTCATAAATTTACGTTCGCATACTTATACATATGTATTTGTTTCAGTTTAAGATATCTAATAAATAATTAACTCATAAATATTTACGTTAGGTTAAATTAAGCATCCAAGTCTCTCAACAGCTTGTATCTTCATTGTCCTTCATCGCTCTTTTTTCTAACATTTTCATTTTGAATCCTGACATATTTTGGAAATCAGCTACTTGTTTTTTGGTTTTTATTTCTACAACTCCACTAGTAGTTTATCGATCTCGCCTTTTGACGTTTGCTGATTTCTATATATTTATTACTAAATATTCTGAAAATAGCGAACGTTTAGCACAAGGTTGTTTTCAAATATGGCAGATGGTCAGTTACAAATAACTAATTATGGATATTATGATAAAGCTTTAGGTATAATTAGTTGACAGTTTTCCATTAAATGTAAACTTGATCGTGGCATAAACTTTCATTTAATCCAAACAGGGAAAAAATTTTCTTCTAATTTTGTGTTTATAATAAAAAAAATCTTAATGGTTTTTTGATTTCTAGTTAAAGAAACAACAACAGTATTTCAACTTTAAATAGAGCCATTTTCAAGAATTATAATTAAAACTTTCTTCAAATTTAGAAAAATCTAATAAAAAAATGGCAAGACGGTTTTATATGATAATTGTTATTATTATTATTATTTTAATATTTTTACCCAGGTTTTCCAGCACCTGATTTGTAGTAAACAAGTCAGTTTCTTTCATCTTCATGATCTAAAGAGTGCAATTAATTGAGGTTATTTATTTTTTCTGTATTTAAAAGCTAATACGCAGCTTACATCCTTGTATACATCTCGTATATGTCAGTGTAAAATGATTGCAATATTGCTGCCAAGACGTGCAAACAAATGGATTTTTATTCTTCAATAGTGACGAATTGTACGAATTCGACGAAGCCAGACATTGCAATATTCCAATATCGACGCTAGCATAAATGCTTTGGAAAAGGATTGTCATTGTGTCAACATCATCTATCAGCTAAATAAAAAACATAAAATTGGTGAGTACCCGAAACTTAAAAACTGTCTTCTTGGGTGAACTTTGCATGACCAATTTTCTTTGATTTTCAGGAATTTATTGTAAAAAAAAAAATAAATATATATAGATATATATATTTTACAGCATATACCAAAACAATTGAAACTTTATTATCTTCAAAGTTTAGCAGTTGGGAAAATTTCACTTTCAAAATTCATCTGCATCAGTGATTGGTACATGTCTTACGTTGACTGCTTTTCCGTCCGACAATATTTATTTTCGAACGAAAAATCTAACCGTACTTTTTAAATTATTCCTTACGTTGGAATTTTATTCAATGAAGATCAATCAATAACAATACATTTTCAACTTGCATGCCTTTTGTACTTATAGATATTTTAAATTATGATGTTAAATGAAAACATTATTTTCCTGAACTAGTTTTGCAGCATTTTCGGCCATTTTTTTTTTTTTAGATTCCTTTTTTTGTATAATATTTTAATGTGCTTGCAAGAATCTTTTTTTATTTTCAGCCAACCACTGCTAGAGTAATGTGTTTGCGTTTACCCTTCTTGTTATGTAAAGTTGCGTTTAGGCATTCACGAATTATGGGGAACTCAATGATAAAACTTAACTAATACCGACACTAGGCCAAACTTTTTTATTATTTCTTTTGTTACTGACAGCAGATGGAAAACACCAATAACAAGAAACAAAAACTATAAGAACCATTTATATAATCGTTTTTCCCATAGTTCGTAAAATGTCTGAACGCAACTTAACAGTTTTTTAAGCTAACGGTTTGACAGATATTGTAGTTTGATTGATCACATTATTCACTTAGTTCCTGGAGTGTTTTGAAACAATTTGAGCTCAAATATTTTTTTAAAAAATAAAGCTTTATTATATTCATGTTTATATGCGTTGAAAATAAATTCACAAAAATTGAAAATTTTTTACGTTATGTTAAGGAATATTTTAATTGTTAATACAAATGAGGTTTATAAACAATTTGCAGTTTATTTTTATAATTTATAAGCAAAAGTGCTGTTCTACAAAAATTATCATTTTAATTATCGGAACTGCAATTTGATAGTTTTAAACATTGACAAAACAGTCTAGATCCTCCAAATGAAAAAATAATTAAATTTAAAAAAAGAACTAGATAAATAATCTTATCTTATAACTCTATCCAACCTAAGGAAAGATACTAGCTTATCTACTTAAAATTTTGTTAGTTAATACAGTTTACGCCTATAAATTTAAATAAATAAAGAATTAATAATAGACAAATTAGTTTAGAATGATAAATTGACATTATATCAATTAAAAAGTAACTATGAATGCACTGGCAGATCCATGTGGGGAGGGACTTTCGGGTTGAAGCCGCCCCTAAAATGTGATTTGAGGTCGATAATTAAACCATTCACAATAAGTAGCCTTTTTAAATTTTAGTGCATACAAGAAAACAATACAACATTTTTTTTCGCTAAAAGCATTTCTATTCCTGTAATTAACATTTTTTTTATTTTATGTTATTTATATATATATTTTTAACTGACCTTCAAATATCACTTAAACATAATTTTATATAGCTTCTTTATTTTTCTTACAGATTAATTTCCATTATTATTAAAAAAAAAATAATTATTATTAAAACAAATCCAGAATCCACGACTGCATGAATGAAGTAAGGTAATGGTTGAAATTTGATTAATATATTTAAAATAATCTCGATAATCAACGGCTAAAGTTTCCATTTTGATCCTTTAGTTAAAATACTTGCGAACTTTACAAAAAAAAAAAAAAAAAAATATGCTATATTGGTTTGAAACCAACAATAAAATGTAAAACAAAACAAAAAATATATATTTAACTTCTTGGTTACCTTAGGGCATATATATTACATTTTTAATACATTTTAGGGCTTCCCAGTAGGAACATTGGCTCCTATGAATATATGCCAGCATCCGAGTGTCGTTTGGGGCTAGAAAGCAACAGATTACAAGTTTCTATGTTTAAAATTATTAAATTTCAGTTTCAATAATTTATATGAAAACAATTATAAAACTCACTTTAATTAAATACATAAAACTTATAATAAACTACATTCGCAATTCCCTTTTATGGTATTATTCCATAATGTACATTGCGGTAGCCATTTTAATAATAATAATAATAATAATAATAATAATATTTTCAGAAATCTATGAAGTCGTGGAGGTTAGTTTGGTGAGATCGTTTAACAAATTTCTAAATAATTTTATTGTTGCTAATCATTAAATTATTTTTTTCAGATTATTAAGCAATTGAAGCAGTCAAATTATGTGAGGTCTGTTTGAACTATATTTACTATTTGAGACTACAATGTTTAATCTAAATATTAAATATCTTTTAATTCAACTAACCGTTTCGACTAATCAAAATGATGAAAGGAAGTTATAAAATCTTTACTACTTTAGAAAAATCATTTGAATTTTCTCGAGTTACGACATACTCTTATTTACCGATCTAGAAAAATTGAATAAGAAATAAAACTTTGACGGTCCGAGAAGATGTTCGACTTGAATTACACTTTAATTTGTTGAATTTTTGATCA